GCGATACCACGGCCTCATAGAAAACCGACGTGAAGCAACGCTTGCGTTGTGTTTCGTCGTATGAGTAGAGTAAGGTTACCGGATGCCCAATTACCCCAATTCCCCCCCCTCCCCGATCCCCCCGTCCCCAACGATCCTCAAATTCCTAATCCTCATAAGACCGCTAACACACTTGTAACGCCTCTGAAGTTTCGGGAGTCCATGGGCGGCGCCGATTGCTTACCATCAGGTGATGCATCTGCTCGTTTACCGGCTTATCACATAAAAAACAGCTTGGTTTAGTCCATTTCTAAAGTTCGAGCCTTCACTTTTTTATGGTAAACAAGCAGACAGATCGCCTGATGGTAAGCAATCTGCGCCGCACATGGACACCTGGAATACCAGAAGAGTAACAACCAGCTTTTAGTGATTGGATATTTGGGGATTATGAGGTTTTAGAATTGGGCCTTCTCTACATAAGAAGGTCTGCCCTAAGTTAAAGAGGTTCCGGTATATCAGAGAGCGCTGCTGCCCAGTCTCTGTTCAATGCGTAGTCCTATAATCGGCCATTGCCAACCCACGAAAATGATAGGAATGGTACTTATATTCTAGTCCATCGTCACCACACGGCTTGTATTTAGTTCAGTAAAAGTCACTACAACTATGAACCTTATTTGGTATCAGTTAATGACTAGATTGTCCTGATTATAAATGATTTAATTAATATTCTTAAAGGCCAAGGACGAATTAATGAGGGTACCTAACTTTTACGCTTACTTTATGCATTGGGTATGAGTAGAGACCTTTGCAGTAACAATAGATTACTAGATACCCCGCTACACACCTCCTGATGGTTGTAGCGTGATATTTTATGACTACTTCTAGCTATCCTTCCCTACGTGGCTGCTACCAAAATCTCTTTGAAAGTTTAGATTAAAATTCTCATAAGAAATCTTAAATAACAAAATTAAAATTTGACTGCACGGTTGGTGCGGTGGCTGGGCAACCGGCTGCCGTGCAACGTGTCGCGGGTTAGATTCCCGCATGGAACAACACTTTGTGTGATCCACAGATTGTTGTTCCGGGTCTGGGTGTCATGTGTATGTGAACTTGTATGTTTGTAAACGCACCCACGACACAGGAGATAATCCTTGTGTGGGGCAATGTTTTTTTAAAAGAAAAAAAATAATTAAAAATAACATGATTTTGACACAATTCCAAACAAACTTGAAACAACGGAACCCCATCTAAATGTATAATTTTATCCGAATCACTATAGTCGTTTCCGAGATATGTTAACATAAATTGTTTAAATATGTAAATAATGTAAGATTTTCAATTCGTATTGTTTCTTTTTTAAGTTATCAAAACAAAACAATGTTGGATTGCATTATAATATTCTGTTTTTATATTTTAACATGCCAAGTTGTACCGCTAATTTACCACCCTTTTACACATATATATATATCCCAAATATTAATTGAGATAGACAGCTATGTTTATATAGTAAACCATGAAGTAATTACAATGAAGGTGTTTTTAGTTAGAACAGTCTTTAAGTTCTGCCATTTATAGGGTACTAAATCAATCAAATCATATCAAAAATAATTGCCGCAATACCCAGGACACTCTTTTTTTAAAGAGCAGTTTTACATTCATATGTACATCCTTACTTCCTTACTTATATTATAAATCGGAGAGTGAGTTTGTTTGTTTGTTTGTTTGTCCACTTTAACGCCGTAACTACTCAACCGATTGCTTTGAATTTTTGCAGATGTATAGTTAGAAGTCCGGATTAAATAATAGGGTACTTTTTATCCCGGAAAAAATTTGATATTCCCGAGGGAAAACAAAAGTTTTGGTATAGATGGCGCTGTGTGTATTGGTATATGTCACATTGGCTTTTTTATCCTTTTGTGACGCGAACGAAGCCGCGGGTAAAAGCTAGTACATAATAAATTTTCATATTGTGCACGAAAACAGGTACTCTTAAAGGTTGAAATTTTTTTAAACAATAGGGTAGCTTCCTAAATTTTATTTTAATGTCCGTCTGGTACATTAATTTAAAACTTTAGACGTAACGTATTTTTACTTTTCTCACAAAAATAAATACTTTCGACGATATATTAATTTGAAATATCGTGTGACGTCACAGCGTGCCACATTTTATGACGTAACAACCTCCCACTCTAAAACTTAGCGCCATTTTTACCCACTTCAAAAAAAGGAGGAGGTACTTTTTTTTAAGGGGGAAAATCATCGAATGACTGCTTCCGCCTGGGTGAGGCGGAAGGGAGTGTCAGACTCTTACTGACTAAAAACCACCCCGTTCCTTCTCCTGCACGTCGAGCCGGAGCCCCGGTTACCCGTTAGGTTCTCCGAAGGAGGAGGTACAATGTTCGGCTGATTGTTTTTTTTTTATCTAAGTATTAATACGAGAAAATAAAAAATACGTGTCTAATATTTTTTCATTATCTAACTGACGGACTAATTAGATTTTTAATTTTGATACCCAATTTCTTTATAAACCTAAAAATGTATTAACTGATTTTTAATCAGTCAATTGTATAGAATTTATGTCTAAATAGATTCAGAGAAGACATATATATTCTTCACTACACGGCAAGTGACGCCATTTCAAAAAGCACCTTAGCAACTGCTATTTATGAATAGTTTTCACTTACCAAAACGAATTGACAACAAAAACTAGGAAAGTAGATAAAAGTGTAAGTGTATATAATTGTATGTTCTATGTTCGGTAATGAGCTTCTCAGTACAATTCGTTTTGGTAAAAGTGAAATATATATTTGTACTAGCTTTTCGCGCGGCTACGCTGCTTCGCTCGCGACACAAAAGAATAAAAAATAGCCTATGTGACATATACCAATACACACAGCGCCATCTATACCAATACTTTTGTTTTTCCTCGGGAATCTCAATTTTTTCCGGGTTAAAAAGTACCCTATTATTTATTCCGGACTTCTAACTTTACGTCTCCAAAAAATCAAAGCAATCGGTTGAGTAGTTATTGCGTGAAGGTGGAACAAACAAACAAACTCACTTTCAGATTTATAATATTAGTAAGGATAAGGAAGTAAGGATGAGACGAGACGTGATCGCTTGAAGAGTTGAACTTTTTAAAAATAAATGTCTATGCCTCGTTGACCGAGTGGTCGCAATTGCGACTGCCGGGCGAGGGGTTTCTGGTTCGAATCCCGGGTAGGGCAAAATATTACTGGGTTTTTTAAAAATTCTGAGTCGTAGCACGGAGTCTAGAACTGACCCGGTATATGGCTATAGGCTCACCCCTATACATGGGACTCACAACATAAATAGTGAAAAGTGGGTGTTACATTGTACAGTGGTATAATGTGCACCTCTGCCTACCCTTTCGAGGATAAAAGGCGTGATGTTATGTATGTATGTAAATGTCTATGCTAAGTAATGTGATGACTGCACGGTTGGTGCGGTGGCAACCAGCAGTAGTGCAACGTGTAGCTGGTTCGATCCCCGCACGGAACAACTATTTATGTGATCCACAAATTGTCGTATCGGGTCTGGGTGTCATGTATATATAAACGTGTATGTTTGTAAGCGCACCCACGACACAGGAGAAAGTCCTAGTTCTTTTTTTAACGTTGTCCTGTGTGCAACTACTGAGATTTTTTTTTAACCCAGTAATACTTTGCTCGACCCGGGAATCGAACCCGAGACCGCTTGCCCGGCAGTCGCACTTGCGACCACTCGGCCAACGAGGCAGATAAATGTTAAATTATATCTATTTATATATAGCATCTCACCTTGTGAATAATCCATGTTGAGTATCACAGGGCCGGCTCTCACGGGTTAAAACCAAAAAACACTTGAAATAATAATAATGCAAATGTGAAATTTAAACATAACACTCTGAAAGTGTTCAGATATCGTAACAAACACTTTCGCGATAAATCGTCACTTTCATTAGATATATTTGGCACTTTCATGTCTCTGGTCGGCCAGGCACTTATTGGTGGGCCCATTTTGACTGTCTGTTTGTTCGTTGCTATGACTGTTGCATGTTTCGCGGCGAACACGCGGTTGTGGGGCCTGAAACAGAGGAAAAATGTTGTTAGATTCATAGTCATGTCTTTTTTTATACCACGACGATGGCAAAAAAGCACACGGCCCATCTGATTTCTTTCTTTTCGTAAAAGTGTAAAGTTTATTCAGTAAATGATTCGTGGCTAAGAAGTGAAATTCTTTGCCAGAGTCTGTGTTTCTATTCTATCTGAGTCGGTAATTGGGCCTCCGGTAACCTCACTCACACGACGAAACAGAACGCAAGCGTTGCTTCACCCTCCGATCGAGCCGGCCCATTCGTACCGAAGCCACACTTAACTAATTATCGCTAGTAATGTAATCTACAGATACATAAGTTATTAAAACTGGCCGTGAAACTGCTTCTACAGCAGACATACAGTGCCTCATTGGCTGAGTATTCGCAAATGCGACTCAAGGGCGGCAAGGGCTCTCGGAATCGATTCCCGGGTCGGGCAAAGTGCTGCTTAGATTTTTTTTTAAATCTTAGAAGAAAGCACGAAGTATGGAATTGTGCCCGGTATATGGCAATAGGCTCACCCCCTATTACATGGGACTCATAACATAAATAGTGCAAAGTGAGTGTTACATTGCACAGAGATATTAACTGCCGTGATGTGCACCTTTGTCTATAAGAGGCGTGATGTTATATTATGTCAATTACATTAAAAATAATTTAACTAGTTAATGACCTTGAACCTTTATAAGCAACCTTTAGCAAACCTATAGAGTCTTAATAAATAGTTTAATCTAAAAACAACATCTAATAGTAAGGATAAAACCTGCCTACTGCTGGCTACCATCACAAACATCCATATCACAAACCCGTAGGCCAGGAAATGGCTCGAGTACAGTTATCGACAAGACATCAACTCCTGCGCATCGGGCAGCGCCTGGCGCCGGACGCGGCCGGTCGCGACTGGAAGCAAGTTCGATGCGCTTACGCATTTTGTTATACATGCAATGTTACTAGGAAGTGATAGGTCGTTATTATAATTGAGGAGTTTTGAGAACATTGGTTTTTAAAGAGGTTGGTATAGTGCACAGTATAGTTATATTTTTTAATATGAGTATAATGGGGACTGATTTATTCATGTTTTGGTGCATGTTTCGTTGTCTGTATAGAAATCAAAGACTTTAGAGGTATAGAAAGTTCTTTCAATTGATCATTATCGACAGTAAGCGACACCCAGCTGTTGGAGTTACATTATTAATCGGAATTTGTCGGTTGGTGCGGTGGCTAGGCAACTGGCTGCCGCGTAACGCGTAGCGGGTTCGATTCCCACACGGAACAACTGTTTGTGCGATCCACAAATTGTTGTTCCGGGTCTGGGTGCCATGTGTATGTGAACTTGTATGTTTGTAAGCGCACCCACGACACAGGAGAAAATCTAAGTGTGGAGAAATGTTTTATTTATATTAAAACAAATATGTAACGTCTCATGTAGAAAAGGTTTTATTAATCTTTAAAATGCCTCGTTGACCGAGTGGTCGCAAGTGCGACTGCCGAGCAAGGGGTCTCGGGTTCGATTCCCGGGTCGGACAAAGTATTACTGTGTTTTTAATTCTCAGTAGTAGCACGGAGTCTGGAATTGTGCTCGGTATATGGCAATAGGCTCACCCTCTACTACATAGGACTCATAACATAATTAGTGAAAAGTGGGTGTTACATTGTACAATGGCATAATGTGTGTCTCTGCCTTCCCCTTCGGGATAAATGGCGTGATATAATGTAATCTTTAAAATATCTGTGAGGCATATATTATACCTATTGTAAGTTCTATCTTGTATTGTCTTTGTACCAATGTAACCATTTATAATATGTTATTCTATCAAATATAGGCCAGTATTATTCGGGCATCCACTGGTTTCATTTCATATAAACACCGCACCTTACATGGCGACCCTGCCAGGATGGTCAACACGCGCGCCGCGAATTTGAGACGTTCGAGTGTACTGTGTACCCACCTAAGTACCGCGAATTATTAGTAACAATGGAGTTAGTGCAGATTTATTGTAATTACGAACTTGACGTGAGAGTACGTATAATCTACGACCATGGGAAAACAACAATCTAAGGAAGAGACCTTCGTTATCCAAAACGCTGCAGGCAGTAACGAGGCGAAAACTGACGAAATTCGTTTTCATATGTCTATAACAAACATTTTCCTGGCGATTATCCTGTTGGTTATACTACTTGGACTGATATACTTCGTGTACCGGCTGTATAGAAGATGCCATGTACGATGGATAACAAATGAGATCAATCGGATCACTATGATGAGGAGATCTTTTCTTCGTCGTCGTTTGCAGTCGGGGGTCAACGAGAACACGGCTAAAACATTTTCAGAAGATATGGTGTGAAACATAAAAGTGTGTAAAAAAAAGTGCCATAAGTGAAAAATAAAAAAAAAAAGTGCTTAAAAAGTATTGGTGCGGAAAAGTATAAATCGGTTTTAATCGTTTCAATAATCATATGCAAATATTATATCAATCGAGTTGCGTAATATCTTAGTTTTAAAACAATGCAGTGCCTTACCAAATACGGACTGAACGTGAATTGAACTTTGGACTATGGTATTAATTGCGTTTGTTTGCATTCGTACTTAATTATAAAACTTAATACTAATGTTATAATATGAATAGTTAACATGAATAGTTAAGTTAGTTAGTTAAATAGTTGTGGTGTTAAGTACCTAATGGATATAATTTTGACATTATATAATGATTTAAAGAAAATAAGAATAAATTTAATAAAGTTAGGACCGAAACGAAGGACAGAGAGAGTATTGGAAAAGAAGGTAATTGAAGTTGATGCTATTTATCAACAGTATGAGACTTGGTTAATTGATTTTAATGATAAAGTTAAGAATAAATATTATAGTAGCCAAGATATTTTATTAATACAGAATCATTGTCGTGAATTTTTAGCTTTATATGAGGATAGTTTATTGTTGTGTCAGAGTGATAAATCAGATTATTTTTCGAAGATGAGTTCATTTGATTTAAAAATTGCCTTGAGCCTTTTACCTGTTATGACAAATGAGGAGTCTAATACGAAGCAATTGATTGATAATATAGTCTATTATAATTCTATTTTAAAAGAAAATTCTTGTAAACAAAACTTAATAAACTTCGTGCTGAAAAGTAGACTTTCTCAAGAAGCTAAGATAAAGTTAAAAGCGAAATATGATACTGTAGACGAGTTAATAAATGATATGAGAAGTGTGTTATTATGTAAGAAAGCTGCAACGGCAATACAAAATAAGTTGCAAAAAATTAAACAAAATGAAAGTTCAATTGCGGATTACGGGAAGGACATTACAGAATTATTTGTAGATCTGACGATTGCGCAAGCCGATGGCAATGATCAATGCTATAATATATTAAAACCAATAAACGAACAAATGGCAATTAAGCAGTTTGCCAGTGGGTTGCGGAATCGTAGATTAAGTACGATTATATCTGCTAGAAATTACAGCTCGCTTAAAGATGCTGTCCAGGCTGCACAAGACGAGGAAGTCACCATAGGTGCACCTTCTGGAGAAGTTATGGGTATGTACAAACAGCCTTATAATAATTTTTATAACAGGAACCATTCAAATAATTATAGAGGTAGAGGCCAGCGTGGAGGTCGCAGTAACTTTTATTCGTACAGAGGACGAGGCCGAGGAGCGCAGCATGGAGCCCACTTTGATTCTCGAGGACAGTGGACTCGAGGAGGAACTACCGGTCGCAAACAATATAGAGGTAAATTTTATAATTCAAACAGAGGAAATCAAGGGATGCGTAAAGAACGCAACGTTAATTTAATGCAAAATTCGGAAACAGCGGGAGAATCAGAAGTAACATCTAATCAGTTTTTTCGTGAATAACGGTGAAAAAGTTATTTTATCTAGTGATAGTAATTGTTACATTTATTTGCATTCGCCATCATATCGTAATAAGAAACATTATTTTTTAGTAGACTCTGGAGCATCGTTGTCAGCATGTACGTATAAACATGCTCTAGAATGTAACATTCCTATCCATAAAGAGACTGTAACAATAAACGGTTTAGGTGGCAAAGTACAAGCAATCGGATACCTATATTTATCATTCTTCTTGAATGATGAAACAATTAGTCAGAAGTTTTATGTTTTTAATAGCTTGCCCATTAAGGGAAGTGGAATATTAGGCCGTGATTTCTTAAGCAAGTTTAAAGCTCAATTAGATTTTCATAAAAATATTTTAACATTACATAATAACATTTCAACTTTTTCTTTGCCTTTGATAAATAAACATAGTGTTACTTTTGACATTCCTGCTAGAAGTGAGTCAATACATTTTGTACATACGAACATCGATGAAGATTGTGTAGTGTCATCAAAAGAATTGAGAGATGGAGTGTTTTTAGCAAGCTCTATAGGTAGTCCTCAAAACGGATTAATACCTATTCGGATATTAAATGTAACTGAAAATGACTTAACACTTACAGAAATAGAGCCTACTATTGAGAAACTTAGTAAGTTTAATGTTTGCGTATTCGATAAAACACAAAAAAACGCTGATAGAGTAAAAAAGTTATTTTCATTAATGAAATTGAAACATTTAAATGATGAGGAACAGAAAACTATTGAAAACATTTGCGCAAAGTATTCAGATATATTCTACCTTCCAGGAGATCAGTTAACTACAACAGATATATATACTCATACTATTTCTGTAAAGCCTAACACAAATCCAGTATTTTCAAAACAATATCGTTTGCCATATTCTCAAAAAGATGAAGTTAAACGCCAAATTAATAAAATGTTAGAAGAAGGTATAATTGAGCCTAGCAAAAGCGATTGGTCAAGTCCGATACTATTAGTACCCAAAAAGTCAGATACAACGGAAGATAAAAAATGGCGATTAGTGGTTGACTATCGGAAGCTGAACAATTGTATAGAGGACGATAAGTTTCCATTACCAGATATCACCGAAATTTTAGAATCATTGACGGGTAGTATTTATTTTACGCATTTAGATTTACATCAGGGTTATTACAATGTAAAGTTAGATGAAAATAGCAGAAAATTCACAGCTTTTTATTCAGGACAATACCAGATGACGCGTATGCCGATGGGACTGAAAACTAGTCCAAGTTCTTTTTCAAGAATGATAACGATGGCAATGGCTGGTCTAAATAATGAAAAGTGTTTAATATACTTGGACGATTTGATTGTGTTTGGCCGAAATTTGACAGTTCATAACAAGAATTTGCAAGATATATTTGAACGGTTAAGGGCTGTTAACTTAAAACTAAATCCAGCAAAATGTGATTTTCTAAGGAAAGAAATTCTGTATTTAGGACATGTTATTTCAAGTGAGGGCATAATGCCTGATCCTGCAAAAATAAGTACTGTGCAAAATTATCCGCGCCCCACAAATACAGACGAAGTAAAACGATTTGTAGCTTTTACTAACTATTATCGAAAGTTTTTACCAAAATTCGCTGAAATTGCACATCCTTTAAATAAATTGACTAGAAAAGGCGTACCATTTGAATGGAATACCAAATGTGAACAATCTTTTGAAACGTTGAAACAACGTTTAGCAAGCCCACCTATATTACAGTACCCGGACTTTTCAGATCAAAATCGTTTCATTGTTCAAACCGATGCGTCAAACAATGCCATAGGAGCAATTTTATCTAATAGGAACGGATTACCAATAGCTTACGCTAGTAGAAGTTTAAACAAAGGCGAAAAGAACTATCCAGTAATTGAAAAGGAACTTCTTGCGATAGTTTGGGCTGTTAAGTATTTTCGCCCATACTTGTATGGTCGACCTTTTAAAATACTTACAGACCACAAACCACTGGTTTACTTGTTTAACATGAAAGATCCTTCTAGTAGACTTATGAAATTCAGAATGACGTTAGAAGAATACAACTTCGAAGTACAGTATGTTAAAGGTTCTGACAA